CCTTCTCCCAGCCATCTGTGCTCAATCTACATCCATACACTAAACCAGAAATCTTGCAATAATAGCATCCAAACATTCTCTAGCTTTTAATGTTTGTAAGATTGATTTTATCTTTAATTATGTGTATCTGTGTATAGGTATGTGCGCATGTGAGTGTAGTGCCAGCAGAGGCCAGAAGAGGGTGTTGGATACTGGAGAGCTGGCATAGTAGGCAGTTGTGAATCCCTCAACATGGGTTCTGGGAACCAAACTCAGTCCTCTGCAAGTACAGTATATGCTTTTAACCACTGAGCCCTCTCTTTAGTTCCTTTTCTAGCCTCTAAAAATTAACATTATCCCATACACTGTTTCCAGGTTATTACCAAAGTCTCCAGTCCCCTCCTTTCAGGTGGATGCAAATATTTCTTAATAATCAAGCTATTCTTCGTTCATTTACTCTATTGTTGACATACAGGGAAGCTGCTTATAAAACTTGGCCATCATATATGTCATTCACAATAAGTATTCTCTCTTCATGTATAATAAAGACCATGTTTATGTTTCTTTTTTCTCTTTGGCTGTTGGGGAACTTACCTTCAATTTATGGTTTAAGTATACAGTTCTATTTTTGTGAATGTGTACACTTACTTTATCTTCTAGTCTCTTGGGTCCTGGTGTTTTGTTGCTTATTTGTGTCTTATATGTTTCTTTTTTCTTTTCTTTTTTATTTTTTTGTTTTGTTTTGTTTGTTTTTCGATACAGGGTTTCTCTGTGTAGTTTTGCGCCTTTCCTGGAACTCACTTAGTAGTCTAGGCTGGCCTCGAACTCACAGAGATCTGCCTGGCTCTGCCTCCTGAGTGCTGGGATTAAAGGCGTGCATCACCACCACCCGGCTTGTATGTTTCTTAATGGCCTGCTCAGAGCCTTGTGGGTCAAGGACAAACACCAGTTATTAATAAGATATTTAACACAATGCTGAAGTGACCACCCAGGCACCTAGCTTTTCCCTCTGTCTGGGAATCACTAATTAGTACACCTAGCATAATTTTCAAGAATGACATCACCATCACCAGATCAAACACTCAGAGTATCATTTAGCCTCTCGATACACACTAGCCCAGAATCTTCCAGGGAGAAGAGGGACATAGGGTTGGATCATGATACAGATAATCAAACCAAACCCTCCATCACACTCCCAACACAGGCAAAGGGCAGGGCTGTGCCCAGTGTGGAAGGTGTTTGCAAGGCATGACACCTGCCTACTACCTCTTGGCTTCCTAGGTTCACTTTGAACCCAACAGTTGGGCATCCTCCTCCATGCTGCACAGAACATGGAGCAGGCACTTGGCAGAGTCTCATTGACAGGAGGGAAGAGGCGGGTGGGTGGTGCTGTCCCTAGGCCCAGGTCTCATTTTTGGGTGAGATGCTAGCCAAGCCTCTGGAGACTTCAGTCTCCAGTGCATTTTGAACCAGAAAAAAAAGTCTTCCATGGCCTGGCCCAAGAGCTACACAACAGCATCCCTTGGGATTTGAACAGATGAATATCCCTCTACTTGTTCTAGACAGGGCCCCTAGGATCACAACTGTACTGTGTCCTAAACCAGACATTTCCTATTTTAATTTTTTTTAATTATAAGAGATTACAAAAATACAATTACCCTTTCACTGTGATCTGAAAAATAAACTATAGTAAAAGGAGACATAGGTATGAGGGACACTTGCTCCAGCTTTCCACTGAAGTCTATCAGTCCCACATGGCATTCCCAGCTAAGAAGTGACTCCATGGCAGGCTGCCTGGCCTGGCCTGGAAGTGTGGGCCACCGAAGAGAGGGAAAGAAATAAATGAGTAGGTAGATGGACCGGTTGTTGGATGAGTGGATCTACAGACAACCTGTTCTGCCCACTGAAATATAAATTCCTGAAAGACAAGAATTGTATTCACCTCCAGCTTCCACTAGTCAATATGACACGGCATGGGTCTTTGATGTACATGAAGTAAACAAACCAGTGGGTCGGTGGGCGGCTGAGTAGATGTTTGAATGAGTGAGTGCCTGAGTGGGGCAGTGGGGAGACAAATGGATGGGTGATTAGATTGGTGAGTGGGTAGCGGATGAATGTTTGGATGGGTGGTTATGTGTGGATGTATCCATGAATCAATGATTGAACGTGAGGTACTTTGGGGTTTGGGAGGTGGTTCCTATTCCTATGTTAGCTAGGAATACACTAAATGACTTTCAAGGATTCCAGTCAGCTCTAGGAGGCTGCTTCTCTATGAACTTGACAGTGCTCTTCCAACCACCATGAAGTTTCTCCCTCTGCAGATACACCTTCTCTCCTTCACATGTCTTCACCTTCCTCAAGAATCCTCGACTGTCCTTGAAGGAACAGCCCAGTTTCCCCAACCCTCCTGCCACCCGGCTCATCTGTTTCTCCCTCTTTTTCGCCCCTTCGTTCGTTGCCCACACTACCTAGTCCTAAAAATTCTCCTTATCCTGCTTCTCTTCTTAAGAGCAAAAGACAAGCCAGAGACCTCCTTGCGTTCCCACTTGTGACACGCAGCTCAGTCCTGGCTTGGGGAATTAAATTGGTTTCCGGGTTCAGCCTGTTTTGACGTCTTTTAAGCGTCCTCGATGGTTTGCAATCAGAATCCGATGAAGCCGTTTTGAAGAATATTCAGGGCAGGCAATTAGTGGCTCAGGCTTCACCTGCACAGAGAGTCAGCGTTTTCATCCTCCCTGGCTTGAAAGTTACATGAGATTCATTATGTATTTCCATCACATTAACATAAAAAGTCCCATTCATCTAGTTTTATCTCCAAAGCAGACAAGGAAAATTTCTCATTTTAATTGCTGGACCTTGCAGCTCAGAATGGGGTGACTAGAGGTGTCCAGAAACTTCACAGATGCCCCAAACCACAACGGGATGATTGGAAATTGCAGAGACCCCATGATTTATGTCATGGAGGAAACTTTCAAATCACAACTAGCAAGTGGGGGTGTTCTGTTCTTGAGGCTTTTTCTCACTCTCAGTGTTTGAAGCCCAGGCAGCCCACATCACCCTTAGGGGCTTTCTGTCTGAAAACAAAAATGGTTCCTTCCTGTCGTCTTAACCCTTTGCTGTACAGATAAGGAAACAGAGGCCTGGAAAGGGGAAGGGACTGACCCGAGATCGTAAAACCTGTTATCAAGGAAACTGGTAGGAAACGGGTCAAACCCTTCCATTGCTCCCCTTGATCCTCAATTTGCCCCAATGCCCTCAGTCCGTCCATGTAAGCCAGCTATTGGTGAGCAAGTCCACTTACTCATCCGAGCAATTTCCGTGGCTCAGTCTAACCTTTTGTTTCGTGGCTTAAAGAAGAGGGTGTCTCCTCCCCAAAAGAGACCTCACTCCGTTGAGTTCTTATCGGAAGACCCTGGAACATGTCAGCTCTATATCCGCAGAGGTCTCTGGGTAGAAAGACCAAGGCTCAGAGGAAGCCTGTTTCTAAGCCGACTGGCAGAAAGGCTCCGGAAAAGGAAAACTTCTTCCCTAAGAATTCTCGTCCCTTAAGCTCTAGGCCCCACTGGGCACCCCAGTCACTTTCCATGCTACTTCCAATGCAGCAGTTCCAACCATTCTTCTCGTTCAGTCATGTGACAGGTTTAGGGGAGGCTGTTGACTTGCTTGGGGTGAAGACGGGTAGAGAGAAGCAGACCGCCACCCTGGTTCTCTTGTAATCTCCGCAGGTGGGACCCACAGAGCACCTTGGCAACAAAGCGTGCCTATTTCCTTTCATTGCACGCTCCCCGTGAACACTCTAGCACAGAACTCAGCTCATGCTGAGAGCCTGAGGGCTGGCGGGGTGATTTCAGGTGAAAGTCCCTTGTCCCTCTGAGATCAGGAAATTCAGGAAGAGAACAGGTCAAGAACCCAAGGGACCCTTCCTTCTTCCCATGCTCAGGTGGGCTTTGGTCCTTGCTTGTGGAGAAAATCGTAAGTACACTCATGCAGATGTATCTAGAAGCCTGCCTTCCTCCACCCAGCTGCTCTTCGCTCAACCTGGGAGAGCCAAGTTAAAGGCTCACTCACTGTGCAAGGCTTAACTTTGGTGAACCCCAAAGCGAGTTTCTTCCACTGTGATAACAACTAGCATAAGAGAAGGGAAGGGAATCCTCCTGTGCGACGGTCAGAGAGGGTGTTCGGCCCAGAACCCTCATTCTGCATTTGGAAAGCCAAAAGCACCTGTACAGAGCAGCTGGCAAGGTCCTGTACGCTGGTTTCCAGTTCCTGAGAGCACCTGCCTGCCTGCCTACCTTCCTTCTTGCCTTCCTTCGCTCTTTCCATCCTTCTCCTCCTCCCCTCTTTCTCTTTATTTCTCTCTCATACTTGATCTTGCTATGTACCCCAAGCTGGACTAGAACTCAATAGTGGAAACCAGGTTGGCCTCGAACTCGAGACCCTGCTGCTGCTTCCAGAATGCTGAGCTTACCAAGCACACCAGCAACGCTGCCATTTGTTTGTTTGTTTTTGTTTTTTCAATCAAAATAACTATAAGTCATTTCATGTGGTTCAACCTGGAACTGGACTGAGCTCAGGAGTCTCTGTGTGACCGGAAGTTCTCTGAAGCAAAGCTTCATCTACTAAATCCACCACAGAGCGCTTGACCGTGCCTGAATAGGGATGGTGGCACGGGATGTCCGTCAAGATCAACATTATCTTTGGCTGTCTTAAACTACTTTTCATAGTCATTTTTTTTTCTGTTTTTGTTTTGTTATTTGTTTTTTCATTTCATTTTTTTGTTTCTTCGTTTCATTTTGTTTTGTTTTTTAAAGACAAGGTCTCATTATGTGCACATAGCATATAGCCCGGGCCAAGAACTTTTCCAAACCTCGCTGCTTCATGGAAGTATTGTCTCTCCTCCTGGTCACGGGCTTAAGGTGTAGGTCAGGAGGGAAATGGAGAAAAACCTTCAATTCCCCCCGTAGAAATAAGCTGCCCATTCCCCACCTTTAAAAGACACAGAAAAGGACAAGGTTTGGAGATCAAGTTAAATGTCCCAATTTATTTTCATAACTTGAAACCAGAACAAACTTGGTTTTGAACAAGCGTACAAATGAAATGGCAGACACATGCTGAACTCAACATTGTGACATTAAGGGGGAAAAAAAGAGGCCCAAAATCTTGTACAGAGAAGAAAAGAAACAATAAATATTTCACTAAGCCGTATTGAAATGACCTCCTGTCATCTCAACATTTTATCCATAATTAAAAAAAACAAGTGCCTGTTTTTAAAACAGAGCACAAATACCAAGCAATAATAAATAGCTCCAAACTTGTTGTAAGAGACAAACCCTCTAGGCAAACAACAAAAGCTCATACGATAAGGAATAGAAAAGGTAATAAAAATATTTTGCCTCGCCAGTACAAAAGCCAACAGCTGAAATCAATGTGCCTTTGCTATGCAGGGCTGACACAGAGAGCACCAAAATCACGGATTCGCCTGCGGTCAACAGGACCTTGGACGGAAGGGCCGGGTGGAAGGCTGATCACCTCAGGGTTCACATTTTGATTAGAGTAATCCAGTCTCCTCTCCCCTCCCCTTCCCATGATGACCCTCCAATGGCAAGTGGCAGGTTCCAGTGGGGGGCGGGCAACTTTGGGTAAAGTTGTGGCAGTGTGGAACCTGACCTGAGGTTGGTTGGGTCACCCACGCTAGAGCCCTTTGGCTGGGTCACCTGCTTCGGGGAGGTTGGTTGGCTGGTTTTCGCTTTGATAAGCGAAGCAAAATTCTCTTCTCTCTGCAGTGGACAGAGACATACAATCCTTGTGCTTTAGGATGGCTTAGTCCTGGCATTCTGGTGACAGATGAGCTGGTGAGCACTGGCTAGCTTTTACGAGCACAGGAGAACCACACAGAGGCTCCTAGATAGCTAACGGCAGGGTAGCGGAGGGGCAGGGCAGCGGAGGGGCAGGGCAGCAGAGGGGCAGGGCCATCCTGGGCCTTGGGGCAAGCCTGTGGGACACTGAGCCTTGGGCGCGTGGCATCCCACTTGGCCCCCATCCTTTAACTGTGCAAAGGCAAGTCAAATGGGAAACAGTGAGGCAGACTCTGCATTTAGTAAGGACCTGCCTGGAAAGATGCACGGCCATGCTTTCATAACCTGAAATGATGATTTCTTACATTTCCTGAAATTTAAAAAAAAAAATGGCTTCCTGATATAGATATTTGTGAAAAGTGTATTAGTCCCTCATCCAATAAACAACCACTTTATTATCTTAAAGCTACTTGGCTTTACAAAAAAGGGGTGTTGGGGGAGAGGGGACAAAGAGGGGGGAGGAAATTAAAGATGAGATGAACAGCGAGAGGGTTGGCAGAGACTGGAGGAGGGCGGGGAGGGAACACAGGAGGAGAGAACGATGGAAAGGCACAGAATTCCTTCATCCTAGGCCCCTCACCATTCTGAAACCAATGGAATTGCAGAGGAAAGCAGCGAAGCCGAGAAGGAAAGTGAGCAGACACTGTCCATGGAACAGAAGGATCTGCCTTCAGGGCCCTCCTCAGTCCCGCCTGCACCAGCCTCAGTGGCAGAGGCTCCCCCGGACCCGGCTGCTCCTTCCAGGAGCTTTGATCCATCCGGGTTTGCTCAAGGACAAACGCAGCTGTGGATTCTCTCTCTGCTCTGGAGGGTGGTCAGGGGGTGGAGGGAGCAGCCACAGTAGCCATAGCAGAGTAAGGAGGTGGCCTTGCTCCCTCACCCCTACACCTACCATCTTATAGAGGGAGGGCTCTCTTTTCACCACTCCACACAAATAAAGCACTTCCCATGGGATCTGCCGTGGCTGCACCCAGGAGGCCTGACACAAAGTTCGGGCCTTCAGATCAAAGCCCAAAGCCACTGGTTCTTTGAGTGGGCCAATTCTGGCAGACTATATGCAACTAGGATGGCTCGGGAACCAAAGCATTGGACTCTTGCCTTTTGTGTCTTTTTTTTTCTTGAAGGTTGTCAAACAACCCTTTTTTTTTCTCCTGTACAAGAGGACTTAACATACAAATGTGAGTGAGGTCTTTGTCTGTTTTTTGTTTTGTTTTGTTTTGTTTGCAATATTTTATCCTGCCAAATTAAAAAAATATATTATGGCAGCCTGTTTGTTTTTGTTTTTTTTTTTCTTTTTATTTCCAAATTCACTAACAAAAAGGTACATTAAATCCCTTTAAAAGGACAAGCTTACAGTTAAAAAATTACAAGCTCCAGTAAAAATACAGCGAGAGCCTACATCATATGAACCGACCAATATATCCATTCCAGAGGGGGGTGGGGAGAGAAAAATAAGGACAGGCCAGAAGTGTGATTTTTTTTTTCTGCAAAGCAGTAACAATATTAAGCACTTTTTTCTACATACTTTTTCTACACGGTGTAGCAATCCCCTTTTAATCCCCAAATACAAGTTTCTATACATTTGTTTTCGAAATAAAAATTCAACACCCAAGGCAGAAAAAAATGTACTAAAACTCCGACTTTACAGTTACTGTGACAGAACAGATTTCATAGACCCACCATTTAAAACTTACTGTAACGGTTTCAAGGAAAAGAAAAAGGACTTTTTTTTTTTCTTGTTTTGTAAAATGCCCAGGCATTCTCAATTATTACAAATACTGGTCCACTTTGACAGTAATCAAGAAATTTCAATATATATAATGTATACTAAAACCCCGTCACCAAAAGAAAACAATATACACGTAGCCATTGTGGCATTTCTGTATAACCTATTAAGCAAACTTTGAAAATAAAATAAAATAAAAAAGATCGCTCCAACACACATACACACGATTTTTTTACCCTTGTATGTATCCAATACTGTAAACGTATTTTTAAGACAGAGTGCACTAAATTTAAATTTAGAAAAAAAAATTAGCCATTGTTCCTGAATTATTTTGTTGTTTTTTTTGTTTGTTTTTTTCTCATTCAACGATATCGGCTTGCGTCACTTGAGTTTTAGTTCAGCAGTAAATCACCTCCACTCCACATCTAAGCAGCGTTGTCCCAAAAACAAAAGGGGCTGAAAACAATTCTGCTAATGGATGTCCAGGGCTGTGCTGGGCTTACTTCTTCATTTGATTGGGTCTTATGGCATTTTCACATCCTCTATCTTCAACCAGGATTTTTTTTTTAATTTAAAGTAAATGTGGCTTTGTTTTTAAAGAATGTACTTTTCTTGTTTGCTTTTTAAAGTCTTTTCATCTCAAAAAAAAAAATAAAATAACCAAAAAAAAAAAAGAGTTTTGCATTTGTCTCAAGAGACTCAAATAGGAAGATCAGTTTTCAAGGCACGCACATCAAATTGAAGGGCAGTAGAGAGACTGTCCAATAAATTATTTAATTTTGTTCTTTATAGTGCCAGTATTGTGAATGCCACGCTTAGCAATACTGACACTCAATCTCAACTGTCCCTTACAGTTTAACCCACCTCTGGGCCAAAGATAAGAATATGCTGCAATTTCTTGTTGAGAAGCCATTTAATTTAAATGCAAACGAAAGCTTTAAAGTGCGGGTCAACAGAATTCAAACATCAAATCTGAACGAGTCCAATGTATGGTATGTCCCAACTAATTGGAGGAAGGAAAAAAAAAACAAAAACAAAAAAACAAACATGGAAGCAGCGTGGGGCACCTTGGATGGTACTCTTCCCAGCTCCTCCAGCAAGAAAGAACAGGCAAGATTGCCCTGGCCTACAGTGCTGCCAGCATTAGATGAGAGACCCCGGATCTAACTTCCCTAGTCCACGGTCGAGACCAGCTGTCTGCTTGGGACACAGTCAATTACCAACCACTGTAGCAATGGACACCCGGGATTTATATGTAGGCTGTGGGAGGTGAGAGAGAGAAGCATCACACTGAGAGAAGCCTGAAAGAACATTGTTAGTCTCTTCCTCCCTGCCACCGCTGCCTACCCAGTAGGTACCCTCCGCCAAATCTACAGCAAAGAAAGGGCAGAGGCAGCTTCCCAGGATACACCAAGCTCCTCAGAAAAGGACAGTATCTCCTGGGGATGCCCAAGTGCTGAGGCTGTTCCTAGAGTCACCTGGAAACGTTTCTCAGGGTCCCGAGTTGGGGAGGAGCTTGCTTGCCACATACCCCTCCCTCCAAGTTTTCCTTCCATGACAGGAAAGTTGAATTCCACACAGAGAAGGTCTCTGGGACCTCAGGACATCAGTGCTATGTCTCCAATCCGATGCTAAAACAAAGTGCTACAATTTTCAAGATTGTAATCCGCTGTACATCCACCTCCCAGAAAAAAAAAAAAATGTTTTTGAAAGCCACCTCCCCATCCCACCCCCCAAAAAAAACCCACATGCCACTTTTTTTTTTTATTTCAGGACAAAAGTAAATGATGAAAAGGCAAACAACTTTAAAAGTCATTTAAGTGTTGGCTTCTTGACAAGAAATTACACATGCTTAGCTTAAATTTCAAAAAAGCAGCACCCCCCCACACACACAAAAATTATAATTTAAAAGATAGCTTCCCTCTACATCACTTGCGAGTCATTGCTCAAACTACTACTGGGTTATTAAAAAATGAAGGGATGGATACCCAACAAAATCTTTTAAAGGAATTTAAACAGAAATAATAATAATAATAAGTACCTGCACATACATGCCAAAAAATTACAAAACCCAATAAATACAGAAATTATTGCACAGTTAAAAGGCTCCACAATTTTTTTTTTAAATCTTTACTGCCTTAATCAACCCTCAGGTTTCCATAGGACTTCGCAGACACAGGTTAGGTTGGACTGCCGCCTCCCTTGGGCCCCGGGGACACAGAGGCCAGTCCGGTCACCGGGTCCCGTTGGCGATGGTTGGCGATGGTCACACTGTACAGACGCACGTGCTGCTCCCCGCACACGCGCTTAGCTCCTCTCGGCCTGCTCGATTTTGACATCATTAGTCAGCAAGTGTTCACCGTGCCACTTTTTCATGTGTTTCTCCAGGGTGCTGTAGACGCTGAAGGGCATCTGGCAGATGTCGCAGCGGTACACCTCCTTGCCGATCTGCCCGTGCGTCTTCATGTGGCGCGTGAGCTTGCTGCTCTGCGCACACGCGTAGTTGCACAGCTCGCACTTGTAAGGCCGCTCTCCAGTGTGGCTCCTCCGGTGCACCGTCAGGTTGCTACAGTTCTTGAAGACCTTGCCGCAGTACTCGCACGTGTCGCTGCGGCGGCCTTCCTTGGAGCTTGGCCGCCCAGGACCCGGGCCACCCAGGTGAGGCGTGCTGCCCCCGCTCGCTGTGCCGCTGCGCCCAGACAGCCCACCATCCAGCAGGTCCCCCGGCGGCGTGGAGAAGCGGAGGCTGCCATTCTCAGACGAGTGCTCGGACGACGTGGCGAAAGGCGACTGGCGCGCGTCCGTGAAGCCCAGGAACGGGTCCTTCATGAAGTGGCGTGAAGCGGCGTAGCCCACGAGCCACTGCGAGTACACGTTCTCGGATGGGATGAGCGCAGCAGGCGGCAACTCCAGGTCCTTCTCCACCTTGATGCGTTTGGCCGCGTGCAGTGCTGGGCCACCAAGCCCGGGGCTGGGCAGCGGTGCAGGCTTGCGCGGGAAGAGTGCTGGGAAGGGCTCTGCACCCGGTGCAAAGGCCCCGCCACGCCCGTTCACCGCGCCCGGTGCACCTGCATCCCCGCAGCCACCAGCACCCGTGTCACCCGCATCACCTGCACGCTTCAGGAAGGCGCCACGCTTCTCCCCATACTGTGGCAGTGCGCCAAGCCCCGCATCCTCCATCACCTTGCCCAGTGCCAACGCTTTCTCATCTGCCAGCGCCGCGGCTGCAGCACCCGCACCAGCCACACCTGGCACACCGCCTCCGTTCTCACGGCCACGGCCCAGCTCCGAGTCCATGCTGAAGCTCGACTCAGGCCGGCTCTCATTCTCCAGTAGCAGTTCTTCTTCTTCCTCTTCCTCGTCCTCGTCGTCCTCGGGTTCGGGGCCCAGTGATGGGTCGCTCTCATGGTGTCGGAAGTCACCATCGGCCGCTTTGAGGTCGCCAGGCAGCTCGCTGGTGCCTGGCTCTGGGGAGCTGGCAGCCGACAGCCCGTCGTCCGAGCGGCCAGTCAGCGAGCCCGCCTTGTGCATGTGCGTCTTCATGTGGCGCTTGAGCTTGCTCGCCTGCGAGCACGCGTGGTCGCACAGCTGGCACTTGTAGGGCTTCTCGCCCGTGTGGCTGCGCCGGTGCACGATGAGATTGCTCTGGAATTTGAAGGTCTTGCCGCAGAACTCACACGACTTGCTCTTGGCGGGAGGCTGCGGTGGCGGCGTGCCCGCAGGCATGGGTGGCAGCGGTGGCGTGCTGAGAAACGGGGACTTGGGGCTGGGCTGGAAAGGGTTCAGCAGCCGGTGCATAGGGTTGCCACGGCCTGGGGACACGGGCGGCGGCGTGGAGCTGTTGCCAGCCAGTTCTCGCAGCCGCCGCGAGAAGTCCATGGCGGGAGAGTCTATGGCCATGGGGTTCAGGCGCATGACTCGGTCGAAGGCACTGGGGTGCTGGGCCACGAGCCCCATCTCCTCTGCACTGAGGCGGTGTGGGTCCAGGTGATGGCGCGGCGGTGGGCTGAAGAGTGGCGGCGTACCTGGCAGGCGGCCCTCGCCGAAGCCGGGGTGGTCCCGTAGAATGGGGCCCGTCATGCGCAGCAGGTTGAAGGGGTTGCTGTCCCCCAGAAAATTCATGAGTGGGGACTGCGCCACGGCCTCGGGGCCAAGCGGAGGCGGGATGGTGAGCCTGGGCGTGAGCGAGCTGCTGGCTGGCCCGGGCTCCAGGTAGATGCGGAAGCCGTGCGTGTTCTGCGCATGCTGCAGCAGGAACCAAGCGCTGTTGAAGGGCTGCTTGCATGTTGTGCAAATGTAGCTGGAAGGCTCATCTTTACCTGGGGAAACACGAAGGAGAAGGGCAGAGTGTGAGCAGCTGCATGGAGCCGGGGTGGCCACAGGGTGGACAGGCCTCACTGTGTCTGCCCACAAGGCAGAGGACGAGATCTATGAGCATGCCCTGGGAATCCTTGGAGTCAACTTGTGCAGCCGAAGGGTAGACAGGCCTCATTGCGACCATCCAGATGGCAGGGAACAATGGGATCTATGGGAAGGCCCCGGGACTCCAGGGAGTCGATTTTGAGGCCTAAGAGTGGACAGGCCTCACTGCAACCACCCCGATGCAGTGGACAACAGGATCTATGAGAAAGCCCCAGGTCACCAGGGAGTAGCTTGCATTCAATGGGCCTGGCTTTGCTCCCCCTAAAAGCATTCTGACTTTAATCATTTTGGGGACCAGAGGGGAGACAGTGACAATGGCTACATTATGTAAAAGAGCCAGGGTAATAAGCCTCACCCCCACACCATCTAGACCAGGATTTTTTACTTAGTCACTGTTGATGTGTAGACCCCACCCTCGTAACTCATTGCTGGGGTGAAAAGGAGGTACAGGGCCTCCACACAGTAGATGCCAATATTCCCACCCTCCAGTGGTGCAAACAGAAAGGTATAAATGTCATCAAATGTCTCCTCTGGGATAAAAATTAGTCCACCTCAGCCTCCCCTTGGGGACTACTAACTCCTCTGCTTTACAAACTTAATTTTTTTTAACAGAAATTGCTATGAAGCTCTGTGGTAGAATGCTTGCCTAGCATGTATGAGGACCTACATTCAATTCCCAGCTGCTAGTGACAGACATCCAGGTAGCACTCTGATACCTTGCCTACATTTGAGATTTTAGCCACAGGAAATTTCTGTTTCATGGGCCAGCATCTGTGCAGAAAATACTGTCCAATAGAAACCCAGATATGTGAAGCAAGACTAACACAGTTCCAAAGTCTGCTGTTCTGTGAAAGCCACCCTCACCTATGGCCTCACACACTCCCACAATGTGGAAATCAGCTCCACAGTCCCCAAGAAGGGCAGGAGGTGGGGGATGGGACTCCAGCCTAAATGTCTTCTGCCAGAAGACAAAGGAAGGGAAGGAGGCCGCCAAATGTGACTGCAGTCAGGACGAACAGCCACACGTGCTGATTTGTTACCACTGGCTCGGGTGACATCAGTCACAAATGGTTGTGGACACTAGTGGCCCTGAGCGTACTTGTCAGTCACTGGTGCAGTCTCAAGATGGAGGCTGAACCTTTTGTCTGGAGCTGTTGACCTCAATGTGAGGCCACATTCTGCCTGCCAGAACCTTCCTGATGCCTTAGATGAGTAAGACAGGCGTGGACAGGCCTGTCTGCCTTCATCGGATGCAGCGGCTCAGAGGGGTAAGAATAGGCCTCTCACTCCAGACCTGGCACAAAGTACGGCAACCTCAGTCTTGAAAAGACCCTCTCCTCTGTTTAAACTTGCCTGTATCAAAAAAGATACTAAGGCTGACACTAAGTCAGAAGTTTCAAACTCCCCAGCAAAGCCAAACATGAACGGGTACCATACCTCACAGCAGACAGCGCCGTGGGAATGGACCTGACAAGTCCTCATCTTTGCTTACCCCAGCCTAGCCTGGAACATCCGTAATCCTGGATAGACAGCATCTCACTCTCCAGCAGCTAATGCCACTTCCTAGGAGGCTGCATCCCTCGCTGTGCACGTATGTTCTGAAGTCCGCCCTGGCCTCAGTTTCCAGTGTGCACCTCTCCAAGTCAGGCTTGCTAGTGGGCCACAGTCCACAGAAAAGCACTATGCCATCGTGGGGCAGGATTGAGGTTCCCTTGGACCATGGCACCAGCAGGCCCAGGGCAAGCAGCACTGGAATCCGAGACATGCTTTTGCAAGCCAGGGATTATCCCACTATCCCGATAGTGTGTCTGTGGGTTTGGTGTTGTAAGGTAGTAAAGCAGAGAAATTAAAAAAAAAAAAAAAAAATCCTGACATTCGGCCTCATTGCGCTGCACATTTGTATTCCTGTGTGCAGATAGGTATGCATGTGTGCACACACGCAATGTGGGGGCTAGAGGACAACTTCAGGTGTCATTCCTTATCAGGTGGCATCTTATCTCTTTTGAGACAGGGTCTCTCACTGGCACCTGGGGCTCACAGATGAGGCTTGAGCCTCTGGCCAGTATGCCCCAGAGATCCTCCTCTGCCCACCTCCCAGCACTGAGACTGTAAGTGAATGACTCGACCCCTTGATTTTTATGTGTATTCTAGAGATTGGACTTGGGTCCTCACACCTGCATGGCATACCTTTACGGAGAGCCATCTCTCCAGGTTTCCCTCCATATTTTTAAACTGCTGCAGGAGCACTGAGGATACAGCTCAATGGTAGAGTGCTTGCCTAGCATACATGAGGTTCTAAGTACAATCTTCAGCACCAGCCCCTCCAGCAAAACGAGCAACAAACAGAAAAACGAAAAAACCAACCCGGGGCGGGGGGGGGGGGGGGGGGGGGGACGGGGGGACGGGACGGGGCGGGGACAGAGGCTATTTGCTCTCTCCAGGTGTCCCAGCATGTCTGGATGGGTCTGTACTCTACACAGGGCTCCTAATGGGGGTCTTCTGTCTTAGCCTGGTTTCACAAGGCCTGGCCAGCCATGATGCCCACGATCAGGGCCTAACAGAGGAATAGTGCCTCCCGAAGTCCTGACCCCACCCCACTCCCCATCTCAGCTTATTAGCTAATGTGCTTGAGGGACAGGAAGCCTTGCCTCAGACAGTTCACATGGAGCTGGCCAGAAGACAGGTTTAGACTCCTCCTCACATCGTGCATGCATGCATGTGTATTTCATAAGAAGGTAAATACAAGTCCCTTTCAGATACTTTGGAGCTACTAACACAAATGAAGTACCATGTCCTAGGAGGTCCCATATCAAATTAACGGTTGTTTCTGTACCCTTCTCTGGGCCCCAGCCACTCTAAGTAATGGATTTACAGCACAAGGCTGCTGAGGCCTAGGGTGTTCTTAAGCTGGGCCCCATCTCTTCTCAGCGTCTCCATTTCCTCAAGTAGCTCTGAAGCACTTCCTGCCTCTTTATCTGGTGGCCACACGTTTTCTAGATTGTTCTACAGCTAGCAATCAAGAAATGCGCCTATCCAACAAATACAGAAGTCCAAAACTGATTAGGTAGCCAAAAATAACTGATTACATTAATTAAAAAAAAAAGCAAGGCAGCATGCCCGAAAAACTCGGATACTTCTTGAAGGTGTGTGTGGGTGGATGTCACCTCCATAGTTAACTGTGAGGAGAGAGAGGGCTGCTTACTCCTCAAGTCAGACAGATTTCAGGGCCATTTGTCACCCCAGGGTGAGAGCTATCTTTATTGGAGCCCCTAAATGTCCCTCCACAGAACTCCAAGATTCACTGTAGGCAGCAGCCTCCCCAGTACCTGAAGGAGAAAATAAAAATCTCCCTGCGCTTGAAGGCCCCCCACTAGACAACTCTTTCCAGCCACCCCCTTCTTTTTTAAAATAAAATGTTCATTTCCATATGATGACCTCATGGCTCCATGCCTAGAAATAGCCCTGAGCATGGGGTTGCTCACTTTTAAGAACTGAACAATGTCAGAGAGTCTTTGACGAGCCACTTGGAACATCTTTCTATTCAAGAACTGAGTATTTTATAGACACAGCACACTCACAGATGGCTGGCTTTTCAACGTGGCAGGAGAGCCTTAGCAGTTGGCTTCTGACTCAGGGCTGGCCTCGGCTCATCCCAAACTTTTCCTCACTGCCACCTCCTCCTCAAACTCACAGCCACCTCACACAGGTGTTCCGGCGGATGTCCTGCAGGAGGAGGTGGCTGCAATGCTCACGGACCGGAAAGGATCCCCTGGTGCGGCTGCTTGCTAAAGATCCCAACTGCTGGGTCCAAGTTACTGCAGAAGCACCAGCCCTGGCCTACAGACCTAGACATGCCAGCTTCACTTGTCTCACTAAAATCACATGGAGCAACTCAGAACCCAGGGCTCCGCCATGTCTCCTTGCTTCCTCCCTCCTTGTTTTCATAGACCTCTAGAAAACACACTAAGACTTCTTTGTTCCCACAGCTACCGAGAGAGAGTCTTTGGTCTTCGCGTCTTCAGATGCAGAATGCTACCCCAGATCTGTACAAGAGGCCCCCACACAGAGGAGCATCACTTAACACATGTGCTTTGCTCACTCAAGGGTGTAACCAAACAAGTGATGTCACTTCTCTGAGCCGTCATTCCCAGTCACTAAAACAGAAAAACTACACCTGCCTCCTGGGGTGGGGGCAGGGGGTGGTTGGAGGCAGTGAGGTCCTGCCTGCCTCTGTAAACTGTGCACTGCCATGCAGATGTGGCAGTAGGCCTTATACATTCTGGGTTTAGTCACCCATCCTTGTACATGGCTATGGGTGTTTCGGGGATGCCTTTTGGTGTAACTGTTGGTAATGAGGCCTGGATGCATTGTAATGCATCTTGCCTGAAAAACAGCAACTTCAGAGAGCAACCTACAAATGCTGAAGGACACTTCTGTCGTCGCTCACCACGGCCTCTGAGGGAAGCCAGGCGAGGATCCTAATCATGCTAGATGATGAGGACCTGCAGTTCAGAGAATCAAGTCACAGCCAGGAAGTGGCAGGGCCACACCCTCACCATCTTCCCAAGCCCTGTACAGGACCCCAGCGGCCTCCCAGCAACACCTGCCAACCACAGGGTCTGTCACCCTTCCTGAATGTGTAGAGGTCAGTTTCACAATAACAGTGCTCTCTCAGGGAAGGGCACTGATTGTCCTTGAACAGCCTCCATTGGACCTTCACCCTAAGCTGGAACAAGGGAGCCATTTTACAGAGCCAGAGAGCCTACAGCATGTGCTGCTTGGGGGACCTATTGAAGGGGCCACATGACACTGAAATGGCTGAACTTGGGACAGGAAGTTTTATCCCTGGATGCCTCTCAGGGATCCTCCTCATCCAGCACCCAAGCAGAAGGCTGGT